CCGGAAGGGAGGGGAATTGGGCCTTGTGGTTTATGGAGGAAACTCGCCCAGCAATGATCGCCTGGGGGACATCTATTTTTTCATTCCATGTGTGGATGAGTGAATGAGTGGTGGAGATTTAATGATGCTATATGATGCGTGTGATTATATGGTAGCTGCTGGTGTTTTCTTTTTTAGTATGTAAATTTATGAGTGAAATAACAAATTATGTGGTAATGTAATAAATATAAATAGTGGGTCTACTCAATTATTATGTATTATTTTGTATGGAGCTGCTTCTTCAACTTATGCAAGAGATATGCAAATAAAATGGCACAAACATGACGATGAATCGAAACAGTTCTAAATAGTTTTTTTTTTTTTTTTTAAAATACGCACTTATTATTCCTAAATTTTGAGTAAGAAGAGTTTTAAACCATAGGAAAAATAACTTCTAGTCATACTACATCTAAACATCTAAATAAATGCATCAAAAGATGCGAGTGAATTTTTATAAACAAAAGCAAACCCATTGCAGAAGTACAATCGTTTGAAATTAAGTAGCGAGACCTCGATCACATTGGTCTCGGCTTTCCAACACAAAATAGGACGGGTGAATGTTGTACATTTGTTCAATGCATTATGTACTTCCTCACATCTCTTAATATATTGTAGAGAGTATAGAGAGACAGACATGGAGAAAGGAGGGAATATGTATGTCTTATTTGTTACATAAACACAGCCCACCAACGAATTACTAAAACCATTGATTTGAACTCAAGAAAAAGGAACCAAACACACAGAAAAGACAGTACAAGAGGCAGGTTGTGATTTTTGAGACAAAGTCCATCTGCCTCTGCTTTTTTCCTTAAAAATATCTATTTTAGAGCTTCCCATCTCCTCTCACTCTCACCACTAATGCTACAAAACAGAATAAAAAGCATTGACAAATATCTCAAGTGACAAGTTTCATCTTTTTCTCTCTCCTCCTTAAATGGGCCTTTTAAGGACTCAACCATTCTTCTTTTTCCGTGGATAATGTTATTTCCATCTCAGTAACCTTTTCCTTTCTTATTTCTAGTTTTTTTTGTTTCTAATTTAATATAAGTTGGTAACTCTTTATATTTATTATTTCTCATTTAAAAACAACAAAAGAACCTCTCTTTAACTCATTTCGTGGATCAAGAAATTCTACACTGGAGCGCAGGGCTTCCTCTTTGAGTTATAGTGATGATTTGAACAGGGTGCGGAAGAAGAAAGAAAAAGGTAGTTGCAAGGCTTTTTCTAAAGATAAAGGCTGGAAAGATACATTTAGAAATCGAGTTCCAAAATGAATTGACTCCTCAGAAGGGTTAAGAGAACTAAGCTAAGTACGTGAAATAACTCGAATTTCAAATCATTCACTTGCTTTAACTACTCATGCTATGGACGTGGGAGCATCAACTCCGTTCTCGTGGGCTGTTTTTTTTCTACTATCAGCCCCAAAAAACCAAACTCCGACACTGGAAGCTTTGATGAGACTATTTTTGCCACCACAAGACCACAAAGGTAGGGGTTGAGGCTCCGAAGGCTTTCCAACTTGCTTCAATTAGGGAATGGCGCAGATGGATCAATCACGCGGTTCTGCAGCGTCCTCCAACTTGCTGTTTGCTCCCCTTCACTAATTAAGTGTTTTAACTTTTTATTCTTGTTTCCAATTTTTTCTTTTAATATTAATAAAATAGATTAAAATACTATTTTAGTCCCTAAATATTTATTCTCTACTTTTAAAAATGGTTTATTTTGGTCCTTCGCCGCTTCTTCTACCCTTCACATTCCAAGCAAGATTTTGTTGAGGTTATGGAGGAAAAAAAGAGGTGGTGGCAACACGTTTGTAAGCTTCTTCTAGGTCTTGCTTTTATTCTATTTTGAACCAGAACATATTGATAGTGTCTCCACTTCATAGGAGAACTTTTGGGAAATAAAAAACATAGAAGACTCAAATTAATACTGCGACATTCTGTATACTACATTGAGAAACGCTGAAGACCAGTAGAACAACTCGAATCCACCTTTTAATCTAATAGACACAATCCAACTTCTTTTGCAATTAAATTTCCACATGGACTCCATATTAATAAAAATATCAACTTTAATCTATTACTATATTAATGGTAAATCAACAGCAAAAAGCAGAAACCAAAATGAACAATTTTTAAAAGTAAAACTATCCGAGTTGAAAATACAGGAATCAAAAATATTTTAACAATAAAAATATTATTTCATCATTTTTTCCCTTATAAAATACAAAATAAATATAACATAAACATTTTAAATATTTAATTTGAAAACTTAAGTTAAAACCTATACTTAACTTAAAACTTTAAACAACAATAAATATTTACTTTTTTAATTAAGAAACAATAAACAGTAATTACCATCGATAATCCCCATCCCCACGTGCTATACTAGAAAACCGTAAATAATTATCTGTTTTGAGAAGCAAATTACCAAACTTGCTATATAATTCTCTCATTTCTCATTATCTCAAAATATTTTCAGCATTTTCATTATATACGAATTCTTAATTATGTCCTTTTAAATATTTATAATTTTCTGTGCACTCTTCCAATTGTGGTTATAATTTCTTATCACTTTCAACAAGACCCATCAACTATATTTAAAATTTTCAACTGATTATTACTATAATAAGGAAAGTTATATTTTCTAAGAAACTAGTTAGGTTAAATAATTAATTAATTTTTCAATTTCTGAACATGGTGTCTATTTAACTACCCTGGTTTAGGGTTTAGCCAATATCCAAACCCTAGAGCATGAAAAAAACGTGAAGAAAATTTATCAAAAAAGTTTAATTTTTACTACCATATTCGTATACTAAATTTATAACCTAACTAAATAGTTATACTTTTCTCTTCTATGAAAATAATAAAACAAAAGTAATTTGTGCTAAAACTAGAAAAGGAAAAAGAAAAAAAAAACTATGAAAAAAGGATCATAACAATTAGTAGTGGCGTAAATAAAATTAGAGGTTACTGTTGTACAAATGCATCATATTATCATATTCCTCTTACACACAACACAATTACACTTATACAAAATTAGGAAAAATAAAGAAAATAGAGAAATTTGACACAAAGGAGTTTTCCACGACTTTCAATGACCAGAAAGAGACCCAAAAGTGAGAGGGAAAAAAAAATATTATTAAGTTCCTAAAAAGTCATCAATGATGCTCAAAAGTTGGGAACCTTTAAAAGGTACCCAACGAGGCAACCACTTAGCTTGACCTTGCAGCAGTCCACAATAACGCCA